AGCATGATGGAGACAGGCGACCAAGAGAAGACAACAGAATTGGAAGGAACGGTTGATCACCTGCAACACAGACCAGACATTCTAATCCATTGTGGTAGGTGTTACGTGTGGTATGAACGGCAGGGGTTACCGCTAATGCCACAAATAACAATTACATGAATCACACAACAATCTCTGAAGTTTAAAGCTAGATTTAATAATTAAAACAAAGATAAGTATATAACAATTCTCAGTAACTGGGCAAGGCACTCATACACATCTATTTAGGCAAAGCAATATGGCAAATGTGCAATGTAGATAACAGTCACCTCAGATTTCTTTACATCACATTCCCAATGAATTCCATTTCACATTGTTCCAAACTTATATATCACAGTTCACGGGATAACTGGGTAACAACAGTTTCCTCCTTTGAAGCGTCGACATGACCTTCTAACTTTGTCTCCGGACATAACGCTGGGCTGAACTGCCCTCGTTCAGTTAAACCATATTTCTCCCTCTCCAATTCTTTTTCCTTCCCCTTTTCTGTTTGATAACTTGCCCTCATATTGTAAACAAATTTCCAAGTAAGCTATCTACTTCAGCACACAACAAAAGGTTGATCGGCCAACACCAATCAGTTGGGCCAATCACACTCAAATCACCCCACAAGCACGCTTCTCCCCGTCAGACAGCTTGCTTAACTCAATCAAGCATGACGCCGTCCACCGAAACTGGACCCCTTGTGATCCACACAAATATACAACGGCACTCATAACATAGGATGGTAGAAGATTCCAATGAAAGTTGTGTTAGAGGATGGTACATGTACAGTGAGGAGAAATGGAATATAGTGTTAGATAAATGGAAGAGAGATTGCTGTCAGTTGCTGAATGGGGATGCTGGTACGTGAAGTGAAATTGCCCATAATGACAGACAAAATGATGAGGATGCATGTTATTTTCAAAGCCAACATAAAAATGTAGCTAGTGCTTAACGACAGAAGTCACCGTGGCAAGGCGCCTGACATAGATGGCATTCCTTCTGAATGTTTGAAGTCACAAAATGTTATATTAGCGCTGCATAAAATAAATTAATTTGTTTTAGCACTGGTAATATTCACACGAAGTGGTGGAAGGGATTGATTAACCCTTTACCAAAGAGCTGTACATTGAACCCTACAGATCCCTTATCGTACAGAGGATTAAACCTCACAAATACAATTTATATGATTTACTGTTATGTCCTCAATCAAAGAATATAATCTTGGGCAGAATCTACCGGTGTTTTGAATGATGTCCAAGACTGTTTGAGAAAACAGAAGTCCACTATGGACCATATTCATACTGCTTAGTTATAGAAACTAGAAAGTATGAAAAAAACAAAGTTTACTGCTTCAATAGGTTTTAAAAAGCCTAGGATTGTGTGATTGTGTGAAATCTTCTAGGCATAAACTTCACGATGTTAGTGTTGGTCTCAATGCTGGTAGCCCTCCGGATGCTGGGCGTTCAATAGTTCCGCTAAACCACCATTTCACAATGGGAGAAAACGGGGCATAATCGGCGACATTTACTTCATCAAATTTGCTCAAATAAAGATGTCAATGGTATTTCATTGAGTGGTCGTTTAATTCCATGTATTATGTATACGATTTCGTGATAAGAGTGAGCTGACACGAAATATAAACGCATATATCACTGTTGAAAATGGGGTGTGTGTCATTGTTTACATTTCACCGATGTGACAACCACTTTCGAGTCTCAAACCAGCTTGAACAATGTTTTTCTTCACTAAAAGTAACAACGGACGTTATTCTCGTGACATATACATTGCAAGAGCATTCATGAAAATGCTAAGAAAAAAATTAAACCACCCGTTCTAGAGTTTTTCTATAGTAAATACTGTAAAACGTGAAATTAATGAATGCGACCGCTGGCCCCTAGACAAAAATGCGACTCAATATGAATGCGATACCACCTCCTCTCAAGCATCAATGGATTTATATCTAAATGTCCGCCATGTTTGTTTGTCTAGTGGAGGCGGCCATTGTGCAGTCCTTGCCTGGGTCAGTGTAGCGCCACGCAGCATACCCAGGGAGCCAGGCTGGTGTGCGATTAAAAAGAAACCATTTGGAAGAAAAAAACAGTGAAGGGAAACATTTTTATCCATAGTTCCCTCAACGGTCGAGGGCGCCATTTTGAAACAGCGATGTAAACAAACAAACCGGAGTAGCAGCAGTCAAAATGAATTATCATTCAATTTCGATCATCGATTTCATTGTTCTTAACCACCCCCACCACGGAAATCCCCCTTGGGCCATTAGCAGCGCAGACATTATATCAAAAATTATAACAGCAATTGCCGAAAGACATGAGCGGTGCAGGGTGAGCAGTTTGCGGAAACAGGGCTTCGTTACATTATGTTCCGTGATTTCTACATATACTGAACAACAAAAGTTCCTGTGACATTGAATAAGATTTAATGCAAAGTTATGTTTTTTACCAAATCTGAAACAATTTCGGTTTGCAACAGATAAAAGACTTCTGTTAGTGTTCAAATGGTTTAATTTGCCTTACTGACTTCAGAAAATGCATGATTTCATAAAAAACAACAACATGAACATGCCAAAATGTCAATTTTCAAATCAATAGCGTGTGTGTCCACCTCTGGATGCGATGCAAGCAACACATCTTTGTCTCATGGAATGGACCAGGCGTAGCACAAAGTCCTGTGGGATATCTGTCCATATCTGCTGGAGAATGTTTCGAAGTTCCTGGAGTGTCTGTGGAACACTGACGTCGAAGGTTTGGCTCATTTTCGGACAGGCGTGGCATTTCCTAAAGTTGAATAATTACGTAATTTTGTTGTTTTTCTGAGTGGTTGTTGTCAGCACGATGCTAAACAATGCATATGGAATCCCATGGACGCACTTGTTTTATACCCGTTCTTGGGTAGTGAAATGCATGGGGCTTGCACAAAAGTCAACCTTTGCATGGAATGCATGCTTTTCTGTAGCAGTTGCGTTTTTGTGAGTTGATTCCACACATGTACTACAATATTGAAAACCAAACTTTACTTGTTTGAAAAATACGTTAAAATATTGGTGTCACGGGAACTTTTGTTGTTGAGTATAGATATCTTATATCAGGGTCACTACCGCACCTCGCCATGTGTCATACGTGTTGCCAAGTGCAACAATGTTTTTCATACTTGTTATCAAGTAGCGAATCACACCTTTAAATGTCAACCGACAGTTTAAACAACATGCGGTATTACACATCCTGCGCGCTTGTATCCACTGATACACCAGGTTTAGGGCAGTATGATATTGCATCAATCCTATATTGAGTGTCAATTAGGGGGGCTGTTTGGTTTTTTAAATTAAGTGTTGTTCCACCCTTTGGTAACTAATTGTCGATATGTCCAACCTGTAACTTGGTCCTGGGGATTTTTCAAAAACTTAGAAATGTATAATTGAAAAGACTGCCACAACACGCACATATTATCTTTGTTGATTGGTGTACGAGGGGATTGCCTAAAAGTCGGACCGGGACGGGCCGGCGGGTAATACTAAAAATGGATTACAGAATATAAAGACGAAATGTGCATATGTAGGCAGATCTCCACAAACGTATAGTTTTGCTCAATTAATTGAGTTTGAATTAAAATGCATCTTCAACAATGTAATAAACTGATAGTTATGACTACATACTAAGAGTCTCGTAGATTCACTCGTAGGAAACTGTGTTTTTTTTATGAGAAGGTTTCTCACCAGCCTCATAATGTAGAATGTTGGGTTCCTATGTCCTGGGCAGGAAATGACAGTGTTTTGACTACTATTCTTTCATTAATTAACGTGTTGGGCATCCCTAATTAACCTTAACTCATTCAACTAACACAGGATGATTCCTGGAAGTGGATATTCGCGAATGTCACAGGGCTAACACGACACGTGTTAATAACTGTCAAAGCACTTCAAAGTTTCTAAACATACTTTACATATATAGACTAGCATAGTATCTACCTATTCGCTGATGACGGACCAATATGGGTAAAGCACATTTATATCTCTGACCTTCAACTGGAATTAAGGGTATCATGTTCCAAAGTAACGTTGTTATTTACGTGAAGAATATCTACTGATTACGGTCACCCATAAGGGACATGGAGTCTGTTTTTCAATATTTTGATGTTTCACTCACTTTTATCGTAAAATTTTGCAAATTAACACAATTTGTCATACAAATATGTGATAATTATGTATTAAAAAAACGAAAACATGGAAAATGTACTTTCAAGAAGCTATTGAGACGCTGAAATGTGAAGCGAAAATGTAAGAAAATAAAATGGAAATGTCAAAAACCAAAACGAAAATGTCAAAAACAAAAAAACGAAAATGTCAAAAACAAAAGCGAAAATGTCAAAAACTAAAATGAAACCACAGAAAACTATTTCCACCGCGGTGATAATATTTCCAACATGGTGGAAATAATTTTCTGTATTTTCATTTTAGTTTTGACATTTTCGCTTTTGTTTTTGACATATCCATTTTAGTTTTTGACATTTTCGTTTCACTTTTCAGCGACTCAATATCTTCTTTACACATGATTTATCACGTATTTGTAAGACAAATTGTGTTAATTTGCAAAAGGTAACGACAAAAATAAGTGAAATATCAAAATATGGAAAAACAGACTCCATGTCCCTTATGGGCCACCGTAACTAATAGATATGTTATCGTGTTTCAATACGATTACACAGCACGAGTTGACACATCTGGCAGATGATGCATTTACACCCGGCATTTCACAACAACAACAACAGATAGTGATCTAGTGATGATGTCATTCCTAAGAACGATATTTGTGTACTTTTATCAAACGAATTGCCTACAGTGAGAGTGAGAGATTGGAGGCGAGTCATATTGTTATTTCTAGGAACGACGTCACTGCTGTTAAAACTATGACCATATGAGGTTATCAATCCGTTCAATAACTACTTTCTGATGTATGATCTGCCACTGTCAAAAGAGTGACTCTTGAGGCGGATGTGCCTACTCTAAGCTGATCTAAATGGTGTTCCAAATGTGGAATGATCCTTACCGAACGGAGATACTCAGGCAGTCAGGATTTGTGCCTTTGGGGCTGCACTCTCTTGAGCACTCATGCCTTGTACAATACTTTCTGCTTCAACACTGTCTGGTCGACTAATGCTTGGACTTCCTGGACTTGGTAAGTGAATACCAGCTGCTTCATTTTAGTTGTAGTGTCTTCGGTAGAACGTCTGATTATTCGTATTGAAATTTGAAGATGAGGTAAAATGGTTCAATTGCAAACAGAATCAAAACAATTTTGAAGAATATTGGAATTGTGTGATATACGTTCTCATTCCGCTTAACAGGTACCTCCTGATGTATGATCAGCCACTGCTGAAAGAGTGATGCTTGAGGCGGATGTGCCCAGACTGAGCTGATCTGACTTGGGTTGGCAATGTATAGAATGATCCTGACAGCGTTGAACCAATCGGGGCTATCCAGACAGTCTAGTTTTCTGCATTTGGGTTACCGTGTCTTGATCACCCAGGCCTGGTTCACTACCGCCAGAGTCTCTACTTTCTGGCTCATGATCATTCTTGTCTGCAAAACCCACAAGTAGTCAAAGTGTGCTGCACCGAACGGGTTGGACCAGACTGTTCTGCTTTTGGCAGTGCTGGTCATGCCTGGAATGGTCTTGACAGCGTTGATCCAACCGGAGTTACTCAGGCAGTCAGGATTTGTGCCTTTTGGGCTGCACTCTCTTGATCACCCATGCCTTGTCCACTTCTTTCTGCTTCAACACTGTCTGGTCGTCTAACGCTTGGACAAAATCGTCTGCATCTTCCTCGACTTGGTAAGTGAAAATTAGGAGCATCATTTTAGTTGCAGTGTTTTTGGTAGAACTTCCGATTATTCGTAATGAAATTTGAAAATGGGGCAAAATAGTGAAATTGCAAACAGAATCAAAACAATTTTGAAGGGTATTGGAATTGTGTGATATACGTTTTCATTCCGTTTAACAGGTACCTTCTGATGTATGATCAGCCACTGCTGAAAGAGTGATGCTTGAGGCGGATGTTCCCAGACTGAGCTGATCTGACTGGGGTTGGCAATGTATAGAATGATCCTGAACGCCTTGAACCAATCGGGGCTATCCAGACAGTCTAGTTTTCTGCCTTTGGGTTACCGTGTCTTGATCACCCAGGCCTGGTCCACTACCGCCAGAGTCTCTACTTTCTGGCTCATTCTTGTCTGCAAAACCCACAAGTAGTCAAAGTGTGCTTCACCGAACGGGTTGGACCAGACTGTTCTGCCTTTGGCGCTGTTGGTCATGCCTGGAATGGTCTTGACAGCGTTGATACAAATGGAGTTACTCAGGCAGTCAGAATGTGTGCCTTTTGGGCGGCACTCTCTTGGTCATCCATGCCTTGTCCACTTCTTTCTGCTTCAACACTGTCTGGTCGTCTAACGCTTGGACAAAATCGTCTGCATCTTCCTCGACTTGGTAAGTGAAAATTAGGAGCATCATTTTAGTTGCAGTGTTTTTGGTAGAACTTCCGATTATTCGTAATGAAATTTGAAAAAGGGGCAAAATAGTTAAATTGCAAACAGAATCAAAACAATTTTGAAGGATAATGGAATTGTATGATATACGTTCTCATTCCGTTTAACAGGTACCTTCTGATGTATGATCAGCCACTGCTGAAAGAGTGATGCTTGAGGCGGATGTGCCCAGACTGAGCTGATCTGACTGGGGTTGGCAATGTATAGAATGATCCTGACAGCGTTGAACCAATCGGGGCTATCCAGACAGTCTAGTTTTCTGCCTTTGGGTTACCGTGTCTTGATCACCCAGGCCTGGTCCACTACTGCCAGAATCTCTACTTTCTGGCTCATTCTTGTCTTCAAAACCCACAAGTAGTCAAAGTGGGGTGCACCGAACGGGTTGGACCAGACTGTTCTGCTTTTGGGGGTGCTGGTCATGCCTGGAATGGTTTTGACAGCGTTGATCCAACCGGAGTTACTCAGGCAGTCAGGATTTGTGCCTTTTGGGCGGCACTCTCTTGATCATCCATGCCTTGTCCACTTCTTTCTGCTTCAACACTGTCTGGTCGTCTAACGCTTGGACAAAATTGTCTGCATCTTCCTCGACTTGGTAAGTGAAAATTAGGAACATCAATTTAGTTGTAGTGTTTTTGGTAGAACTTCCGATTATTCGTAATAAAATTTCAAATTTGAAAATGAAGGAAAAACTGTAAAATTGCAAACAGAATCAAAACAATTTTGAAGGATATTGGAATTGTATGATATACGTTCTCATTCCGTTTAACAGGTACCTTCTGATGTATGATCAGCCACTGCTGAAAGAGTGATGCTTGAGGCGGATGTGCCCAGACTGAGCTGATCTGACTGGGGTTGGCAATGTATAGAATGATCCTGACAGCGTTGAACCAATCGGGGCTATCCAGACAGTCTAGTTTTCTGCCTTTGGGTTACCGTGTCTTGATCACCCAGGCCTGGTCCACTACTGCCAGAATCTCTACTTTCTGGCTCATTCTTGTCTGCAAAACCCACAAGTAGTCAAAGTGGGGTGCACCGAACGGGTTGGACCAGACTGTTCTGCTTTTGGCAGTGCTGGTCATGCCTGGAATGGTTTTGACAGCGTCGATCCAACCGGAGTTACTCAGGCAGTCAGGATTTGTGCCTTTTGGGCTGCATTCTCTTGATCACCCATGCCTTGTCCACTTCTTTCTGCTTCAACACTGTCTGGTCGTCTAACGCTTGGACAAAATTGTCTGCATCTTCCTCGACTTGGTAAGTGAAAATTAGGAACATCAATTTAGTTGTAGTGTTTTTGGTAGAACTTCCGATTATTCGTAATAAAATTTCAAATTTGAAAATGAAGGGAAAACTGTAAAATTGCAAACAGAATCAAAATAATTTTGAAGGATATTGGAATTGTATGATGTACGTTCTCATTCCGTTTAACAGGTACCTTCTGATGTATGATCAGCCACTGCTGAAAGAGTGATGCTTGAGGCGGATGTGCCCAGACTGAGCTGATCTGACTGGGGTTGGCAATGTATAGAATGATCCTGACAGCGTTGAACCAATCGGGGCTATCCAGACAGTCTAGTTTTCTGCATTTGGGTTACCGTGTCTTGATCACCCAGGCCTGGTCCACTACTGCCAGAATCTCTACTTTCTGGCTCATTCTTGTCTGCAAAACCCACAAGTAGTCAAAGTGGGGTGCACCGAACGGGTTGGACCAGACTGTTCTGCTTTTGGCAGTGCTGGTCATGCCTGGAATGGTTTTGACAGCGTTGATCCAACCGGAGTTACTCAGGCAGTCAGGATTTGTGCCTTTTTGGCTGCACTCTCTTGATCACCCATGCCTTGTCCACTTCTTTCTGCTTCAACACAGTCTGGTCGTCTAACGCTTGGACAAAATTGTATGCATCTTCCTCGACTTGGTAAGTGAAAATTAGGAACATCAATTTAGTTGTAGTGTTTTTGGTAGAACTTCCGATTATTCATTATAAAATGTCAAATTTGAAAATAATGGAAAATGGTTAAATTGCAAACAGAATCAAAACAATTTTGAAGGATATTGGAATTGTATGATGTACGTTCTCATTCCGTTTAACAGGTACCTTCTGATGTATGATCAGCCACTGCTGAAAGAGTGATGCTTGAGGCGGATGTGCCCAGACTGAGCTGATCTGACTGGGGTTGGCAATGTATAGAATGATCCTGACAGCGTTGAACCAATCGGGGCTATCCAGACAGTCTAGTTTTCTGCCTTTGGGTTACCGTGTCTTGATCACCCAGGCCTGGTCCACTACTGCCAGAATCTCTACTTTCTGGCTCATTCTTGTCTGCAAAACCCACAAGTAGTCAAAGTGGGGTGCACCGAACGGGTTGGACCAGACTGTTCTGCTTTTGGCAGTGCTGGTCATGCCTGGAATGGTTTTGACAGCGTTGATCCAACCGGGGTTACTCAGGCAGTCAGGATTTGTGCCTTTTGGGCTGCACTCTCTTGATCACCCATGCCTTGTCCACTTCTTTCTGCTTCAACACAGTCTGGTCGTCTAACGCTTGGACAAAATTGTATGCATCTTCCTCGACTTGGTAAGTGAAAATTAGGAACATCAATTTAGTTGTAGTGTTTTTGGTAGAACTTCCGATTATTCATTATAAAATGTCAAATTTGAAAATAATGGAAAATGGTTAAATTGCAAACAGAATCAAAACAATTTTGAAGGATATTGGAATTGTATGATATAAGTTCTCATTCCGTTTAACAGGTACCTTCTGATGTATGATCAGCCACTGCTGAAAGAGTGATGCTTGAGGCGGATGTGCCCAGACTGAGCTGATCTGACTGGGGTTGGCAATGTATAGAATGATCCTGACAGCGTTGAACCAATCGGGGCTATCCAGACAGTCTAGTTTTCTGCCTTTGGGTTACCGTGTCTTGATCACCCAGGCCTGGTCCACTACTGCCAGAATCTCTACTTTCTGGCTCATTCTTGTCTGCAAAACCCACAAGTAGTCAAAGTGGGGTGCACCGAACGGGTTGGACCAGACTGTTCTGCTTTTGGCAGTGCTGGTCATGCCTGGAATGGTTTTGACAGCGTTGATCCAACCGGGGTTACTCAGGCAGTCAGGATTTGTGCCTTTTGGGCTGCACTCTCTTGATCACCCATGCCTTGTCCACTTCTTTCTGCTTCAACACAGTCTGGTCGTCTAACGCTTGGACAAAATTGTCTGCATCTTCCTCGACTGGGTAAGTGAAAATTAGGAACATTAATTTAGTTGTAGTGTTTTTGGTAGAACTTCCGATTATTCGTAATAAAATTTCAAATTTGAAAATGAAGGAAAAACTGTAAAATTGCAAACAGAATCAAAATAATTTTGAAGGATATTGGAATTGTATGATGTACGTTCTCATTCCGTTTAACAGGTACCTTCTGATGTATGATCAGCCACTGCTGAAAGAGTGATGCTTGAGGCGGATGTGCCCAGACTGAGCTGATCTGACTTGGGTTGGCAATGTATAGAATGATCCTGATAGCGTTGAACCAATCGGGGCTATCCAGACAGTCTAGTTTTCTGCCTTTGGGTTACCGTGTCTTGATCACCCAGGCCTGGTCCACTACTGCCAGAATCTCTACTTTCTGGCTCATTCTTGTCTTCAAAACCCACAAGTAGTCAAAGTGGGGTGCACCGAACGGGTTGGACCAGACTGTTCTGCTTTTGGCAGTGCTGGTCATGCCTGGAATGGTTTTGACAGCGTTGATCCAACCGGAGTTACTCAGGCAGTCTAGTTTTCTGCCTTTTGGGCTGCACTCTCTTGATCACCCATGCCTTGTCCACTTCTTTCTGCTTCAACACTGTCTGGTCGTCTAACGCTTGGACAAAATTGTCTGCATCTTCCTCGACTTGGTAAGTGAAAATTAGGAACATCAATTTAGTTGTAGTGTTTTTGATAGAACCTCCGATTATTCGTAATGAAATTTGAAAATGGTGCAAGATAGTTAAATTGCAAACAGAATCAAAACAATTTTGAAGGATATTGGAATTGTATGATGTACGTTCTCATTCCGTTTAACAGGTACCTTCTGATGTATGATCAGCCACTGCTGAAAGAGTGATGCTTGAGGCGGATGTGCCCAGACTGAGCTGATCTGACTGGGGTTGGCAATGTATAGAATGATCCTGACAGCGTTGAACCAATCGGGGCTATCCAGACAGTCTAGTTTTCTGCCTTTGGGTAACCGTGTCTTGATCACCCAGGCCTGGTCCACTACTGCCAGAATCTCTACTTTCTGGCTCATTCTTGTCTTCAAAACCCACAAGTAGTCAAAGTGGGGTGCACCGAACGGGTTGGACCAGACTGTTCTGCTTTTGGCAGTGCTGGTCATGCCTGGAATGGTTTTGACAGCGTTGATCCAACCGGAGTTACTCAGGCAGTCTAGTTTTCTGCCTTTTGGGCTGCACTCTCTTGATCACCCATGCCTTGTCCACTTCTTTCTGCTTCAACACTGTCTGGTCGTCTAACGCTTGGACAAAATTGTCTGCATCTTCCTCGACTTGGTAAGTGAAAATTAGGAACATCAATTTAGTTGTAGTGTTTTTGGTAGAACTTCCGATTATTCATTATAAAATTTCAAATTTGAAAATGAAGGAAAATGGATAAATTGCAAACAGAATCAAAACAATTTTGAAGGATATTGGAATTGTATGATATACGTTCTCATTCCGTTTAACAGGTACCTTCTGATGTATGATCAGCCACTGCTGAAAGAGTGATGCTTGAGGCGGATGTGCCCAGACTGAGCTGATCTGACTGGGGTTGGCAATGTATAGAATGATCCTGATAGCGTTGAACCAATCGGGGCTATCCAGACAGTCTAGTTTTCTGCCTTTGGGTTACCGTGTCTTGATCACCCAGGCCTGGTCCATTACTGCCAGAATCTCTACTTTCTGGCTCATTCTTGTCTGCAAAACCCACAAGTAGTCAAAGTGTGCTGCACCGAACGGGTTGGACCAGACTGTTCTGCTTTTGGCGGTGTTGGTCATGCCTGGAATGGTTTTGACAGCGTTGATCCAAACGGAGTTACTCAGTCAGTCAGGATTTGTGCCTTTTGGGCTGCACTCTCTTGATCACCCATGCCTTGTCGACTTCTTTCTGCTTCAACACAGTCTGGTCGTCTAACGCTTGGACAAAATTGTCTGCATCTTCCTCGACTTGGTAAGTGAAAATAAGGAGCATCAATTTAGTTGTAGTGTTTTTGGTAGAACTTCCGATTATTCATTATAAAATTTCAAATTTGAAAATGAAGGAAAATGGTTAAATTGCAAACAGAATCAAAACAATTTTGAAGGATATTGGAATTGTATGATATACGTTCTCATTCCGTTTAACAGGTACCTTCTGATGTATGATCAGCCACTGCTGAAAGAGTGATGCTTGAGGCGGATGTGCCCAGACTGAGCTGATCTGACTGGGGTTGGCAATGTATAGAATGATCCTGATAGCGTTGAACCAATCGGGGCTATCCAGACAGTCTAGTTTTCTGCCTTTGGGTTACCGTGTCTTGATCACCCAGGCCTGGTCCATTACTGCCAGAATCTCTACTTTCTGGCTCATTCTTGTCTGCAAAACCCACAAGTAGTCAAAGTGTGCTGCACCGAACGGGTTGGACCAGACTGTTCTGCTTTTGGCGGTGTTGGTCATGCCTGGAATGGTTTTGACAGCGTTGATCCAAACGGAGTTACTCAGTCAGTCAGGATTTGTGCCTTTTGGGCTGCACTCTCTTGATCACCCATGCCTTGTCCACTTCTTTCTGCTTCAACACTGTCTGGTCGTCTAACGCTTGGACAAAATTGTCTGCATCTTCCTCGACTTGGTAAGTGAAAATTAGGAGCATCAATTTAGTTGTAGTGTTTTTGGTAGAACTTCCGATTATTCATTATAAAATTTCAAATTTGAAAATGAAGGAAAATGGTTAAATTGCAAACAGAATCAAAACAATTTTGAAGGATATTGGAATTGTATGATATACGTTCTCATTCCGTTTAACAGGTACCTTCTGATGTATGATCAGCCACTGCTGAAAGAGTGATGCTTGAGGCGGATGTGCCCAGACTGAGCTGATCTGACTGGGGTTGGCAATGTATAGAATGATCCTGATAGCGTTGAACCAATCGGGGCTATCCAGAAGGTCTAGTTTTCTGCCTTTGGGTTACCGTGTCTTGATCACCCAGGCCTGGTCCATTACTGCCAGAATCTCTACTTTCTGGCTCATTCTTGTCTGCAAAACCCACAAGTAGTCAAAGTGTGCTGCACCGAACGGGTTGGACCAGACTGTTCTGCTTTTGGCGGTGTTGGTCATGCCTGGAATGGTTTTGACAGCGTTGATCCAAACGGAGTTACTCAGTCAGTCAGGATTTGTGCCTTTTGGGCTGCACTCTCTTGATCACCCATGCCTTGTCCACTTCTTTCTGCTTCAACACAGTCTGGTCGTCTAACGCTTGGACAAAATTGTCTGCATCTTCCTCGACTTGGTAAGTGAACATTAGGAGCATCAATTTAGTTGTAGTGTTTTTGGTAGAAATTCCGATTATTCGTAATAAAATTTCAAATTTGAAGATAAAGGAAAATGGTTAAATTGCAAACAGAATCAAAACAATTTTGAAGGATATTGGAATTGTATGATATACGTTCTCATTCCGTTTAACAGGTACCTTCTGATGTATGATCAGCCACTGCCAAAAGAGTGATGCTTGAGGCGGATGTGCCCAGACTGAGCTGATCTGACTGGGGTTGGCAATGTATAGAATGATCCTGACAGCGTTGAACCAATCGGGGCTATCCAGACAGTCTAGTTTTCTTCCTTTGGGTTACCGTGTCTTGATCACCCAGGCCTGATCCACTACTGCCAGAATCTCTACTTTCTGGCTCATTCTTGTCTGCAAAACCCACAAGTAGTCAAAGTGGGGTGCACCGAACGGGTTGGACCAGACTGTTCTGCTTTTGGCGGTGTTGGTCATGCCTGGAATGGTCTTGACAGCGTTGATCCAACCGGAGTTACTCAGGCAGTCAGGATTTGTGCCTTTTGGGCTGCACTCTCTTGGTCCCCCATGCCTTGTCCACTTCTTTCTGCTTCAACACTGTCTGGTCGTCTAACGCTTGGACAAAATCGTCTGCATCTTCCTCGACTTGGTAAGTGAAAATTAGGAACATCAATTTAGTTGTAGTGTTTTTGATAGAACCTCCGATTATTCGTAATGAAATTTGAAAATGGTGCAAGATAGTTAAATTGCAAACAGAATCAAAACAATTTTGAAGGATAATGGAATTGTATGATATACGTTCTCATTCCGTTTAACAGGTACCTTCTGATGAATGATCAGCCACTGCTGAAAGAGTGATGCTTGAGGCGGATGTGCCCAGACTGAGCTGATCTGACTGGGGTTGGCAATGTATAGAATGATCCTGACAGCGTTGAACCAATCGGGGCTATCCAGACAGTCTAGTTTTCTGCCTTTGGGTTACCGTGTCTTGATCACCCAGGCCTGGTCCACTACTGCCAGAATCTCTACTTTCTGGCTCATTCTTGTCTGCAAAACCCACAAGTAGTCAAAGTGGGGTGCACCGAACGGGTTGGACCAGACTGTTCTGCTTTTGGCAGTGCTGGTCATGCCTGGAATGGTTTTGACAGCGTTGATCCAACCGGAGTTACTCAGGCAGTCAGGATTTGTGCCTTTTGGGCTGCACTCTCTTGATCACCCATGCCTTGTCCACTTCTTTCTGCTTCAACACTGTCTGGTCGTCTAACGCTTGGACAAAATTGTCTGCATCTTCCTCGACTTGGTAAGTGAAAATTAGGAGCATCAATTTAGTTGTAGTGATTTTGGTAGAACTTCCGATTATTCGTAATAAAATTTCAAATTTGAAAATGAAGGAAAAACTGTAAAATTGCAAACAGAATCAAAACAATTTTGAAGGATATTGGAATTGTATGATGTACGTTCTCATTCCGTTTAACAGGTACCTTCTGATGTATGATCAGCCACTGCTGAAAGAGTGATGCTTGAGGCGGATGTGCCCAGACTGAGCTGATCTGACTGGGGTTGGCAATGTATAGAATGATCCTGATAGCGTTGAACCAATCGGGGCTATCCAGACAGTCTAGTTTTCTGCCTTTGGGTTACCGTGTCTTGATCACCCAGGCCTGGTCCATTACTGCCAGAATCTCTACTTTCTGGCTCATTCTTGTCTGCAAAACCCACAAGTAGTCAAAGTGTGCTGCACCGAACGGGTTGGACCAGACTGTTCTGCTTTTGGCGGTGTTGGTCATGCCTGGAATGGTTTTGACAGCGTTGATCCAAACGGAGTTACTCAGTCAGTCAGGATTTGTGCCTTTTGGGCTGCACTCTCTTGATCACCCATGCCTTGTCGACTTCTTTCTGCTTCAACACAGTCTGGTCGTCTAACGCTTGGACAAAATTGTCTGCATCTTCCTCGACTTGGTAAGTGAAAATTAGGAGCATCAATTTAGTTGTAGTGTTTTTGGTAGAACTTCCGATTATTCATTATAAAATTTCAAATTTGAAAATGAAGGAAAATGGTTAAATTGCAAACAGAATTAAAACAATTTTGAAGGATATTGGAATTGTATGATATACGTTCTCATTCCGTTTAACAGGTACCTTCTGATGTATGATCAGCCACTGCTGAAAGAGTGATGCTTGAGGCGGATGTGCCCAGACTGAGCTGATCTGACTGGGGTTGGCAATGTATAGAATGATCCTGATAGCGTTGAACCAATCGGGGCTATCCAGACAGTCTAGTTTTCTGCCTTTGGGTTACCGTGTCTTGATCACCCAGGCCTGGTCCATTACTGCCAGAATCTCTACTTTCTGGCTCATTCTTGTCTGCAAAACCCACAAGTAGTCAAAGTGTGCTGCACCGAACGGGTTGGACCAGACTGTTCTGCTTTTGGCGGTGTTGGTCATGCCTGGAATGGTTTTGACAGCGTTGATCCAAACGGAGTTACTCAGTCAGTCAGGATTTGTGCCTTTTGGGCTGCACTCTCTTGATCACCCATGCCTTGTCCACTTCTTTCTGCTTCAACACTGTCTGGTCGTCTAACGCTTGGACAAAATTGTCTGCATCTTCCTCGACTTGGTAAGTGAAAATTAGGAGCATCAATTTAGTTGTAGTGTTTTTGGTAGAACTTCCGATTATTCATTATAAAATTTCAAATTTGAAAATGAAGGAAAATGGTTAAATTGCAAACAGAATCAAAACAATTTTGAAGGATATTGGAATTGTATGATATACGTTCTCATTCCGTTTAACAGGTACCTTCTGATGTATGATCAGCCACTGCTGAAAGAGTGATGCTTGAGGCGGATGTGCCCAGACTGAGCTGATCTGACTGGGGTTGGCAATGTATAGAATGATCCTGATAGCGTTGAACCAATCGGGGCTATCCAGAAGGTCTAGTTTTCTGCCTTTGGGTTACCGTGTCTTGATCACCAAGGCCTGGTCCATTACTGCCAGAATCTCTACTTTCTGGCTCATTCTTGTCTGCAAAACCCACAAGTAGTCAAAGTGTGCTGCACCGAACGGGTTGGACCAGACTGTTCTGCTTTTGGCGGTGTTGGTCATGCCTGGAATGGTTTTGACAGCGTTGATCCAAACGGAGTTACTCAGTCAGTCAGGATTTGTGCCTTTTGGGCTGCACTCTCTTGATCACCCATGCCTTGTCCACTTCTTTCTGCTTCAACACAGTCTGGTCGTCTAACGCTTGGACAAAATTGTCTGCATCTTCCTCGACTTGGTAAGTGAACATTAGGAGCATCAATTTAGTTGTAGTGTTTTTGGTAGAAATTCCGATTATTCGTAATAAAATTTCAAATTTGAAGATAAAGGAAAATGGTTAAATTGCAAACAGAATCAAAACAATTTTGAAGGATATTGGAATTGTATGATATACGTTCTCATTCCGTTTAACAGGTACCTTCTGATGTATGATCAGCCACTGCCAAAAGAGTGATGCTTGAGGCGGATGTGCCCAGACTGAGCTGATCTGACTGGGGTTGGCAATGTATAGAATGATCCTGACAGCGTTGAACCAATCGGGGCTATCCAGACAGTCTAGTTTTCTTCCTTTGGGTTACCGTGTCTTGATCACCCAGGCCTGATCCACTACTGCCAGAATCTCTACTTTCTGGCTCATTCTTGTCTGCAAAACCCACAAGTAGTCAAAGTGGGGTGCACCGAACGGGTTGGACCAGACTGTTCTGCTTTTGGCGGTGTTGGTCATGCCTGGAATGGTTTTGACAGCGTTGATCCAAACGGAGTTACTCAGTCAGTCAGGATTTGTGCCTTTTGGGCTGCACTCTCTTGATCACCCATGCCTTGTCGACTTCTTTCTGCTTCAACACAGTCTGGTCGTCTAACGCTTGGACAAAATTGTCTGCATCTTCCTCGACTTGGTCAGTGAAAATTAGGAGCATCAATTTAGTTGTAGTGTTTTTGGTAGAACTTCCGATTATTCATTATAAAATTTCAAATTTGAAAATGAAGGAAAATGGTTAAATTGCAAACAGAATTAAAACAATTTTGAAGGATATTGGAATTGTATGATATACGTTCTCATTCCGTTTAACAGGTACCTTCTGATGTATGATCAGCCACTGCTGAAAGAGTGATGCTTGAGGCGGATGTGCCCAGACTGAGCTGATCTGACTGGGGTTGGCAATGTATAGAATGATCCTGATAGCGTTGAACCAATCGGGGCTATCCAGACAGTCTAGTTTTCTGCCTTTGGGTTACCGTGTCTTGATCACCCAGGCCTGGTCCATTACTGCCAGAATCTCTACTTTCTGGCTCATTCTTGTCTGCAAAACCCACAAGTAGTCAAAGTGTGCTGCACCGAACGGGTTGGACCAGACTGTTCTGCTTTTGGCGGTGTTGGTCATGCCTGGAATGGTTTTGACAGCGTTGATCCAAACGGAGTTACTCAGTCAGTCAGGATTTGTGCCTTTTGGGCTGCACTCTCTTGATCACCCATGCCTTGTCCACTTCTTTCTGCTTCAACACTGTCTGGTCGTCTAACGCTTGGACAAAATTGTCTGCATCTTCCTCGACTTGGTAAGTGAAAATTAGGAGCATCAATTTAGTTGTAGTGTTTTTGGTAGAACTTCCGATTATTCATTATAAAATTTCAAATTTGAAGATAAAGGAAAATGGTTAAATTGCAAACAGAATCAAAACAATTTTGAAGGATATTGGAATTGTATGATATACGTTCTCATTCCGTTTAACAGGTACCTTCTGATGTATGATCAGCCACTGCTGAAAGAGTGATGCTTGAGGCGGATGTGCCCAGACTGAGCTGATCTGACTGGGGTTGGCAATGTATAGAATGATCCTGATAGCGTTGAACCAATCGGGGCTATCCAGAAGGTCTAGTTTTCTGCCTTTGGGTTACCGTGTCTTGATCACCCAGGCCTGGTCCATTACTGCCAGAATCTCTACTTTCTGGCTCATTCTTGTCTGCAAAACCCACAAGTAGTCAAAGTGTGCTGCACCGAACGGGTTGGACCAGACTGTTCTGCTTTTGGCGGTGTTGGTCATGCCTGGAATGGTTTTGACAGCGTTGATCCAAACGGAGTTACTCAGTCAGTCAGGATTTGTGCCTTTTGGGCTGCACTCTCTTGATCACCCATGCCTTGTCCACTTCTTTCTGCTTCAACACAGTCTGGTCGTCTAACGCTTGGACAAAATTGTCTGCATCTTCCTCGACTTGGTAAGTGAACATTAGGAGCATCAATTTAGTTGTAGTGTTTTTGGTAGAAATTCCGATTATTCGTAATAAAATTTCAAATTTGAAGATAAAGGAAAATGGTTAAATTGCAAACAGAATCAAAACAATTTTGAAGGATATTGGAATTGTATGATATACGTTCTCATTCCGTTTAACAGGTACCTTCTGATGTATGATCAGCCACTGCCAAAAGAGTGATGCTTGAGGCGGATGTGCCCAGACTGAGCTGATCTGACTGGGGTTGGCAATGTATAGAATGATCCTGACAGCGTTGAACCAATCGGGGCTATCCAGACAGTCTAGTTTTCTTCCTTTGGGTTACCGTGTCTTGATCACCCAGGCCTGATCCACTACTGCCAGAATCTCTACTTTCTGGCTCATTCTTGTCTGCAAAACCCACAAGTAGTCAAAGTGGGGTGCACCGAACGGGTTGGACCAGACTGTTCTGCTTTTGGCGGTGTTGGTCATGCCTGGAATGGTCTTGACAGCGTTGATCCAACCGGAGTTACTCAGGCAGTCAGGATTTGTGCCTTTTGGGCTGCACTCTCTTGGTCCCCCATGCCTTGTCCACTTCTTTCTGCTTCAACACTGTCTGGTCGTCTAACGCTTGGACAAAATCGTCTGCATCTTCCTCGACTTGGTAAGTGAAAATTAGGAACATCAATTTAGTTGTAGTGTTTTTGATAGAACCTCCGATTATTCGTAATGAAATTTGAAAATGGTGCAAGATAGTTAAATTGCAAACAGAATCAAAACAATTTTGAAGGATAATGGAATTGTATGATATACGTTCTCATTCTGTTTAACAGGTACCTTCTGATGAATGATCAGCCACTGCTGAAAGAGTGATGCTTGAGGCGGATGTGCCCAGACTGAGCTGATCTGACTGGGGTTGGCAATGTATAGAATGATCCTGACAGCGTTGAACCAATCGGGGCTATCCAGACAGTCTAGTTTTCTGCCTTTGGGTTACCGTGTCTTGATCACCCAGGCCTGGTCCACTACTGCCAGAATCTCTACTTTCTGGCTCATTCTTGTCTGCAAAACCCACAAGTAGTCAAAGTGGGGTGCACCGAACGGGTTGGACCAGACTGTTCTGCTTTTGGCAGTGCTGGTCATGCCTGGAATGGTTTTGACAGCGTTGATCCAACCGGAGTTACTCAGGCAGTCAGGATTTGTGCCTTTTGGGCTGCACTCTCTTGATCACCCATGCCTTGTCCACTTCTTTCTGCTTCAACACTGTCTGGTCGTCTAACGCTTGGACAAAATTGTCTGCATCTTCCTCGACTTGGTAAGTGAAAATTAGGAGCATCAATTTAGTTGTAGTGATTTTGGTAGAACTTCCGATTATTCGTAATAAAATTTCAAATTTGAAAATGCAGGAAAAACTGTAAAATTGCAAACAGAATCAAAACAATTTTGAAGGATATTGGAATTGTATGATGTACGTTCTCATTCCGTTTAACAGGTACCTTCTGATGTATGATCAGCCACTGCTGAAAGAGTGATGCTTGAGGCGGATGTGCCCAGACTGAGCTGATCTGACTGGGGTTGGCAATGTATAGAATGATCCTGACAGCGTTGAACCAATCGGGGCTATCCAGACAGTCTAGTTTTCTGCCTTTGGGTTACCGTGTCTTGATCACCCAGGCCTGGTCCACTACTGCCAGAATCTCTACTTTCTGGCTCATTCTTGTCTGCAAAACCCACAAGTAGTCAAAGTTGGGTGCACCGAACGGGTTGGACCAGACTGTTCTGCTTTTGGCAGTGCTGGTCATGCCTGGAATGGTTTTGACAGCGTTGATCCAACCGGAGTTACTCAGGCAGTCAGGATTTGTGCCTTTTGGGCTGCACTCTCTTGATCACCCATGCCTTGTCCACTTCTTTCTGCTTCAACACTGTCTGGTCGTCTAACGCTTGGACAAAATTGTCTGCATCTTCCTCGACTTGGTAAGTGAAAATTAGGAGCATCAATTTAGTTGTAGTGATTTTGGTAGAACTTCCGATTATTCGTAATAAAATTTCAAATTTGAAAATGAAGGAAAAACTGTAAAATTGCAAACAGAATCAAAACAATTTTGAAGGATATTGGAATTGTATGATGTACGTTCTCATTCCGTTTAACAGGTACCTTCTGATGTATGATCAGCCACTGCTGAAAGAGTGATGCTTGAGGCGGATGTGCCCAGACTGAGCTGATCTGACTGGGGTTGGCAATGTATAGAATGATCCTGATAGCGTTGAACCAATCGGGGCTATCCAGACAGTCTAGTTTTCTGCCTTTGGGTTACCGTGTCTTGATCACCCAGGCCTGGTCCATTACTGCCAGAATCTCTACTTTCTGGCTCATTCTTGTCTGCAAAACCCACAAGTAGTCAAAGTGTGCTGCACCGAACGGGTTGGACCAGACTGTTCTGCTTTTGGCGGTGTTGGTCATGCCTGGAATGGTTTTGACAGCGTTGATCCAAACGGAGTTACTCAGTCAGTCAGGATTTGTGCCTTTTGGGCTGCACTCTCTTGATCACCCATGCCTTGTCCACTTCTTTCTGCTTCAACACAGTCTGGTCGTCTAACGCTTGGACAAAATTGTCTGCATCTTCCTCGACTTGGTAAGTGAACATTAGGAGCATCAATTTAGTTGTAGTGTTTTTGGTAGAAATTCTGATTATTCGTAATAAAATTTCAAATTTGAAGATAAAGGAAAATGGTTAAATTGCAAACAGAATCAAAACAATTTTGAAGGATATTGGAATTGTATGATATACGTTCTCATTCCGTTTAACAGGTACCTTCTGATGTATGATCAGCCACTGCCAAAAGAGTGATGCTTGAGGCGGATGTGCCCAGACTGAGCTGATCTGACTGGGGTTGGCAATGTATAGAATGATCCTGACAGCGTTGAACCAATCGGGGCTATCCAGACAGTCTAGTTTTCTTCCTTTGGGTTACCGTGTCTTGATCACCCAGGCCTGATCCACTACTGCCAGAATCTCTACTTTCTGGCTCATTCTTGTCTGCAAAACCCACAAGTAGTCAAAGTGTGCTGCACCGAACGGGTTGGACCAGACTGTTCTGCTTTTGGCGGTGTTGGTCATGCCTGGAATGGTCTTGACAGCGTTGATCCAACCGGAGTTACTCAGGCAGTCAGGATTTGTGCCTTTTGGGCTGCACTCTCTTGGTCCCCAATGCCTTGTCCACTTCTTTCTGCTTCAACACTGTCTGGTCGTCTAACGCTTGGACAAAATCGTCTGCATCTTCCTCGACTTGGTAAGTGAAAATTAGGAACATCAATTTAGTTGTAGTGTTTTTGATAGAACCTCCGATTATTCGTAATGAAATTTGAAAATGGTGCAAGATAGTTAAATTGCAAACAGAATCAAAACAATTTTGAAGGATAATGGAATTGTATGATATACGTTCTCATTCTGTTTAACAGGTACCTTCTGATGAATGATCAGCCACTGCTGAAAGAGTGATGCTTGAGGCGGATGTGCCCAGACTGAGCTGATCTGACTGGGGTTGGCAATGTATAGAATGATCCTGACAGCGTTGAACCAATCGGGGCTATCCAGACAGTCTAGTTTTCTGCCTTTGGGTTACCGTGTCTTGATCACCCAGGCCTGGTCCACTACTGCCAGAATCTCTACTTTCTGGCTCATTCTTGTCTGCAAAACCCACAAGTAGTCAAAGTGGGGTGCACCGAACGGGTTGGACCAGACTGTTCTGCTTTTGGCAGTGCTGGTCATGCCTGGAATGGTTTTGACAGCGTTGATCCAACCGGAGTTACTCAGGCAGTCAGGATTTGTGCCTTTTGGGCTGCACTCTCTTGATCACCCATGCCTTGTCCACTTCTTTCTGCTTCAACACTGTCTGGTCGTCTAACGCTTGGACAAAATTGTCTGCATCTTCCTCGACTTGGTAAGTGAAAATTAGGAGCATCAATTTAGTTGTAGTGATTTTGGTAGAACTTCCGATTATTCGTAATAAAATTTCAAATTTGAAAATGCAGGAAAAACTGTAAAATTGCAAACAGAATCAAAACAATTTTGAAGGATATTGGAATTGTATGATGTACGTTCTCATTCCGTTTAACAGGTACCTTCTGATGTATGATCAGCCACTGCTGAAAGAGTGATGCTTGAGGCGGATGTGCCCAGACTGAGCTGATCTGACTGGGGTTGGCAATGTATAGAATGATCCTGACAGCGTTGAACCAATCGGGGCTATCCAGACAGTCTAGTTTTCTGCCTTTGGGTTACCGTGTCTTGATCACCCAGGCCTGGTCCACTACTGCCAGAATCTCTACTTTCTGGCTCATTCTTGTCTGCAAAACCCACAAGTAGTCAAAGTTGGGTGCACCGAACGGGTTGGACCAGACTGTTCTGCTTTTGGCAGTGCTGGTCATGCCTGGAATGGTTTTGACAGCGTCGATCCAACCGGAGTTACTCAGGCAGTCAGGATTTGTGCCTTTTGGGCTGCACTCTCTTGATCACCCATGCCTTGTCCACTTCTTTCTGCTTCAACACTGTCTGGTCGTCTAACGCTTGGACAAAATTGTCTGCATCTTCCTCGACTTGGTAAGTGAAAATTAGGAGCATCAATTTAGTTGTAGTGATTTTGGTAGAACTTCCGATTATTCGTAATAAAATTTCAAATTTGAAAATGAAGGAAAAACTGTAAAATTGCAAACAGAATCAAAAGAATTTTGAAGGATATTGGAATTGTATGATGTACGTTCTCATTCCGTTTAACAGGTACCTTCTGATGTATGATCAGCCACTGCTGAAAGAGTGATGCTTGAGGCGGATGTGCCCAGACTGAGCTGATCTGACTGGGGTTGGCAATGTATAGAATGATCCTGACAGCGTTGAACCAATCGGGGCTATCCAGACAGTCTAGTTTTCTTCCTTTGGGTTACCGTGTCTTGATCACCCAGGCCTGGTCCACTACTGCCAGAATCTCTACTTTCTGGCTCATTCTTGTCTGCAAAACCCACAAGTAGTCAAAGTTGGGTGCACCGAACGGGTTGGACCAGACTGTTCTGCTTTTGGCAGTGCTGGTCATGCCTGGAATGGTTTTGACAGCGTTGATCCAACCGGAGTTACTCAGGCAGTCAGGATTTGTGCCTTTTGGGCTGCACTCTCTTGATCACCCATGCCTTGTCCACTTCTTTCTGCTTCAACACAGTCTGGTCGTCTAACGCTTGGACAAAATTGTCTGCATCTTCCTCGACTTGGTAAGTGAAAATTAGGAACATCAATTTAGTTGTAGTGTTTTTGGTAGAACTTCCGATTATTCATTATAAAATTTCAAATTTGAAAATGAAGGAAAATGGTTAAATTGCAAACAGAATCAAAACAATTTTGAAGGATATTGGAATTGTATGATATACGTTCTCATTCCGTTTAACAGGTACCTTCTGATGTATGATCAGCCACTGCTGAAAGAGTGATGCTTGAGGCGGATGTGCCCAGACTGAGCTGATCTGACTGGGGTTGGCAATGTATAGAATGATCCTGATAGCGTTGAACCAATCGGGGCTATCCAGACAGTCTAGTTTTCTGCCTTTGGGTTACCGTGTCTTGATCACCCAGGCCTGGTCCATTACTGCCAGAATCTCTACTTTCTGGCTCATTCTTGTCTGCAAAACCCACAAGTAGTCAAAGTGTGCTGCACCAAACGGGTTGGACCAGACTGTTCTGCTTTTGGCGGTGTTGGTCATGCCTGGAATGGTTTTGACAGCGTTGATCCAAACGGAGTTACTCAGTCAGTCAGGATTTGTGCCTTTTGGGCTGCACTCTCTTGATCACCCATGCCTTGTCCACTTCTTTCTGCTTCAACACAGTCTGGTCGTCTAACGCTTGGACAAAATTGTCTGCATCTTCCTCGACTTGGTAAGTGAAAATTAGGAGCATCAATTTAGTTGTAGTGTTTTTGGTAGGAATTCCGATTATTCGTAATAAAATTTCAAATTAGAAGATAAAGGAAAATGGTTAAATTGCAAACAGAATCAAAACAATTTTGAAGGATATTGGAATTGTATGATATACGTTCTCATTCCGTTTAACAGGTACCTTCTGATGTATGATCAGCCACTGCCAAAAGAGTGATGCTTGAGGCGGATGTGCCCAGACTGAGCTGATCTGACTGGGGTTGGCAATGTATAGAATGATCCTGACAGCGTTGAACCAATCGGGGCTATCCAGACAGTCTAGTTTTCTTCCTTTGGGTTACCGTGTCTTGATCACCCAGGCCTGATCCACTACTGCCAGAATCTCTACTTTCTGGCTCATTCTTGTCTGCAAAACTCACAAGTAGTCAAAGTGGGGTGCACCGAACGGGTTGGACCAGACTGTTCTGCTTTTGGCGGTGTTGGTCATGCCTGGAATGGTCTTGACAGCGTTGATCCAACCGGAGTTACTCAGGCAGTCAGGATTTGTGCCTTTTGGGCTGCACTCTCTTGGTCCCCCATGCCTTGTCCACTTCTTTCTGCTTCAACACTGTCTGGTCGTCTAACGCTTGGACAAAATCGTTTGCATCTTCCTCGACTTGGTAAGTGAAAATTAGGAACATCAATTTAGTTGTAGTGTTTTTGATAGAACCTCTGATTATTCGTAATGAAATTTGAAAATGGTGCAAGATAGTTAAATTGCAAACAGAATCAAAACAATTTTGAAGGATATTGGAATTGTATCATATACGTTCTCATTCCGTTTAACAGGTACCTTCTGATGTATGATCAGCCACTGCTGAAAGAGTGATGCTTGAGGCGGATGTGCCCAGACTGAGCTGATCTGACTGGGGTTGGCAATGTATAGAATGATCCTGATAGCGTTGAACCAATCGGGGCTATCCAGACAGTCTAGTTTTCTGCCTTTGGGTTACCGTGTCTTGATCACCCAGGCCTGGTCCACTACTGCCAGAATCTCTACTTTCTGGCTCATTCTTGTCTGCAAATCCCACAAGTAGTCAAAGTGGGGTGCACCGAACGGGTTGGACCAGACTGTTCTGCTTTTGGCAGTGCTGGTCATGCCTGGAATGGTTTTGACAGCGTTGATCCAACCGGAGTTACTCAGGCAGTCAGGATTTGTGCCTTTTGGGCTGCACTCTCTTGATCACCCATGCCTTGTCCACTTCTTTCTGCTTCAACACAGTCTGGTCGTCTAACGCTTGGACAAAATTGTCTGCATCTTCCTCGACTTGGTAAGTGAAAATTAGGAGCATCAATTTAGTTGTAGTGATTTTGGTAGAACTTCCGATTATTCGTAATAAAATTTCAAATTTGAAAATGAAGGAAAAACTGTAAAATTGCAAACAGAATCAAAAGAATTTTGAAGGATATTGGAATTGTATGATGTACGTTCTCATTCCGTTTAACAGGTACCTTCTGATGTATGATCAGCCACTGCTGAAAGAGTGATGCTTGAGGCGGATGTGCCCAGACTGAGCTGATCTGACTGGGGTTGGCAATGTATAGAATGATCCTGACAGCGTTGAACCAATCGGGGCTATCCAGACAGTCTAGTTTTCTGCCTTTGGGTTACCGTGTCTTGATCACCCAGGCCTGGTCCACTACTGCCAGAATCTCTACTTTCTGGCTCATTCTTGTCTTCAAAACCCACAAGTAGTCAAAGTGGGGTGCACCGAACGGGTTGGACCAGACTGTTCTGCTTTTGGCAGTGCTGGTCATGCCTGGAATGGTTTTGACAGCGTTGATCCAACCGGAGTTACTCAGGCAGTCAGGATTTGTGCCTTTTGGGCTGCACTCTCTTGATCACCCATGCCTTGTCCACTTCTTTCTGCTTCAACACAGTCTGGTCGTCTAACGCTTGGACAAAATTGTCTGCATCTTCCTCGACTTGGTAAGTGAAAATTAGGAACATCAATTTAGTTGTAGTGTTTTTGGTAGAACTTCCGATTATTCGTAATAAAATTTCAAATTTGAAAATGAAGGAAAAACTGTTAAATTGCAAACAGAATCAAAACAATTTTGAAGGATATTGGAATTGTATGATATACGTTCTCATTCCGTTTAACAGGTACCTTCTGATGTATGATCAGCCACTGCTGAAAGAGTGATGCTTGAGGCGGATGTGCCCAGACTGAGCTGATCTGACTGGGGTTGGCAATGTATAGAATGATCCTGACAGCGTTGAACCAATCGGGGCTATCCAGACAGTCTAGTTTTCTGCCTTTGGGTTACCGTGTCTTGATCACCCAGGCCTGGTCCACTACTGCCAGAATCTCTACTTTCTGGCTCATTCTTGTCTGCAAAACCCACAAGTAGTCAAAGTGTGCTGCACCGAACGGGTTGGACCAGACTGTTCTGCTTTTGGCAGTGCTGGTCATGCCTGGAATGGTTTTGACAGCGTTGATCCAACCAGAGTTACTCAGGCAGTCAGGATTTGTGCCTTTTGGGCTGCACTCTCTTGATCACCCATGCCTTGTCCACTTCTTTCTGCTTCAACACTGTCTGGTCGTCTAACGCTTGGACAAAATTGTCTGCATCTTCCTCGACTTGGTAAGTGAAAATTAGGAGCATCAATTTAGTTGTAGTGATTTTGGTAGAACTTCCGATTATTCGTAATAAAATTTCAAATTTGAAGATAAAGGAAAATGGTTAAATTGCAAACAGAATCAAAACAATTTTGAAGGATATTGGAATTGTATGATATACGTTCTCATTCCGTTTAACAGGTACCTTCTGATGTATGATCAGCCACTGCCAAAAGAGTGATGCTTGAGGCGGATGTGCCCAGACTGAGCTGATCTGACTGGGGTTGGCAATGTATAGAATGATCCTGATAGCGTTGAACCAATCGGGGCTATCCAGACAGTCTAGTTTTCTTCCTTTGGGTTACCGTGTCTTGATCACCCAGGCCTGATCCACTACTGCCAGAATCTCTACTTTCTGGCTCATTCTTGTCTGCAAAACCCACAAGTAGTCAAAGTGGGGTGCACCGAACGGGTTGGACCAGACTGTTCTGCTTTTGGCGGTGTTGGTCATGCCTGGAATGGTCTTGACAGCGTTGATCCAACCGGAGTTACTCAGGCAGTCAGGATTTGTGCCTTTTGGGCTGCACTCTCTTGGTCCCCCATGCCTTGTCCACTTCTTTCTGCTTCAACACTGTCTGGTCGTCTAACGCTTGGACAAAATCGTCTGCATCTTCCTCGACTTGGTAAGTGAAAATTAGGAACATCAATTTAGTTGTAGTGTTTTTGATAGAACCTCCGATTATTCGTAATGAAATTTGAAAATGGTGCAAGATAGTTAAATTGCAAACAGAATCAAAACAATTTTGAAGGATATTGGAATTGTATGATATACGTTCTCATTCCGTTTAACAGGTACCTTCTGATGTATGATCAGCCACTGCTGAAAGAGTGATGCTTGAGGCGGATGTGCCCAGACTGAGCTGATCTGACTGGGGTTGGCAATGTATAGAATGATCCTGATAGCGTTGAACCAATCGGGGCTATCCAGACAGTCTAGTTTTCTTCCTTTGGGTTACCGTGTCTTGATCACCCAGGCCTGGTCCACTACTGCCAGAATCTCTACTTTCTGGCTCATTCTTGTCTGCAAAACCCACAAGTAGTCAAAGTGGGGTGCACCGAACGGGTTGGACCAGACTGTTCTGCTTTTGGCAGTGCTGGTCATGCCTGGAATGGTTTTGACAGCGTTGATCCAACCGGAGTTACTCAGGCAGTCAGGATTTGTGCCTTTTGGGCTGCACTCTCTTGATCACCCATGCCTTGTCCACTTCTTTCTGCTTCAACACTGTCTGGTCGTCTTACGCTTGGACAAAATTGTCTGCATCTTCCTCGACTTGGTAAGTGAAAATTAGGAGCATCAATTTAGTTGTAGTGATTTTGGTAGAACTTCCGATTATTCGTAATAAAATTTCAAATTTGAAAATGAAGGAAAAACTGTAAAATTGCAAACAGAATCAAAAGAATTTTGAAGGATATTGGAATTGTATGATGTACGTTCTCATTCCGTTTAACAGGTATCATCTGATGTATGATCAGCCACTGCTGAAAGAGTGATGCTTGAGGCGGATGTGCCCAGACTGAGCTGATCTGACTGGGGTTGGCAATGTATAGAATGATCCTGACAGCGTTGAACCAATCGGGGCTATCCAGACAGTCTAGTTTTCTGCCTTTGGGTTACCGTGTCTTGATCACCCAGGCCTGGTCCACTACTGCCAGAATCTCTACTTTCTGGCTCATTCTTGTCTTCAAAACCCACAAGTAGTCAAAGTGGGGTGCACCGAACGGGTTGGACCAGACTGTTCTGCTTTTGGCAGTGCTTGTCATGCCTGGAATGGTTTTGACAGCGTTGATCCAACCGGAGTTACTCAGTCAGTCAGGATTTGTGCCTTTTGGGCTGCACTCTCTTGATCACCCATGCCTTGTCCACTTCTTTCTGCTTCAACACAGTCTGGTCGTCTAACGCTTGGACAAAATTGTCTGCATCTTCCTCGACTTGGTAAGTGAAAATTAGGAACATCAATTTAGTTGTAGTGTTTTTGGTAGAACTTCCGATTATTCGTAATAAAATTTCAAATTTGAAAATGAAGGAAAAACTGTAAAATTGCAAACAGAATCAAAACAATTTTGAAGGATATTGGAATTGTATGATGTACGTTCTCATTCCGTTTAACAGGTACCTTCTGATGTATGATCAGCCACTGCTGAAAGAGTGATGCTTGAGGCGGATGTGCCCAGACTGAGCTGATCTGACTGGGGTTGGCAATGTATAGAATGATCCTGACAGCGTTGAACCAATCGGGGCTATCCAGACAGTCTAGTTTTCTGCCTTTGGGTTACCGTGTCTTGATCACCCAGGCCTGGTCCATTACTGCCAGAATCTCTACTTTCTGGCTCATTCTTGTCTGCAAAACCCACAAGTAGTCAAAGTGTGCTGCACCGAACGGGTTGGACCAGACTGTTCTGCTTTTGGCGGTGTTGGTCATGCCTGGAATGGTTTTGACAGCGTTGATCCAAACGGAGTTACTCAGTCAGTCAGGATTTGTGCCTTTTGGGCTGCACTCTCTTGATCACCCATGCCTTGTCCACTTCTTTCTGCTTCAACACAGTCTGGTCGTCTAACGCTTGGACAAAATTGTCTGCATCTTCCTCGACTTGGTAAGTGAAAATTAGGAGCATCAATTTAGTTGTAGTGTTTTTGGTAGAACTTCCGATTATTCATTATAAAATTTCAAATTTGAAAATGAAGGAAAATGGTTAAATTGCAAACAGAATCAAAACAATTTTGAAGGATATTGGAATTGTATGATATACGTTCTCATTCCGTTTAACAGGTACCTTCTGATGTATGATCAGCCACTGCTGAAAGAGTGATGCTTGAGGCGGATGTGCCCAGACTGAGCTGATCTGACTGGGGTTGGCAATGTATAGAATGATCCTGACAGCGTTGAACCAATCGGGGCTATCCAGACAGTCTAGTTTTCTGCCTTTGGGTTACCGTGTCTTGATCACCCAGGCCTGATCCACTACTACCAGAATCTCTACTTTCTGGCTCATTCTTGTCTGCAAAACCCACAAGTAGTCAAAGTGGGGTGCACCGAACGGGTTGGACCAGACTGTTCTGCTTTTGGCGGTGTTGGTCATGCCTGGAATGGTCTTGACAGCGTTGATCCAACCGGAGTTACTCAGGCAGTCAGGATTTGTGCCTTTTGGGCTGCACTCTCTTGGTCCCCCATGCCTTGTCCACTTCTTTCTGCTTCAACACTGTCTGGTCGTCTAACGCTTGGACAAAATTGTCTGCATCTTCCTCGACTTGGTAAGTAAAAATTAGGAACATCAATTTAGTTGTAGTGTTTTTGATAGAACCTCCGATTATTCGTAATGAAATTTGAAAATGGTGCAAGATAGTTAAATTGCAAACAGAATCAAAACAATTTTGAAGGATATTGGAATTGTATGATATACGTTCTCATTCCGTTTAACAGGTACTTTCTGATGTATGATCAGCCACTGCTGAAAGAGTGATGCTTGAGGCGGATGTGCCCAGACTGAGCTGATCTGACTGGGGTTGGCAATGTATAGAATGATCCTGACAGCGTTGAACCAATCGGGGCTATCCAGAGAGTCTAGTTTTCTTCCTTTGGGTTACCGTGTCTTGATCACCCAGGCCTGGTCCACTACTGCCAGAATCTCTACTTTCTGGCTCATTCTTGTCTGCAAAACCCACAAGTAGTCAAAGTGGGGTGCACCGAACGGGTTGGACCAGACTGTTCTGCTTTTGGCAGTGCTGGTCATGCCTGGAATGGTTTCGACAGCGTTGATCCAACCAGAGTTACTCAGGCAGTCAGGATTTGTGCCTTTTGGGCTGCACTCTCTTGATCACCCATGCCTTGTCCACTTCTTTCTGCTTCAACACAGTCTGGTCGTCTAACGCTTGGACAAAATTGTCTGCATCTTCCTCGACTTGGTAAGTGAAAATTAGGAACATCAATTTAGTTGCAGTGATTTTGGTAGAACTTCCGATTATTCGTAATAAAATTTCAAATTTGAAAATGAAGGAAAAACTGTAAAATTGCAAACAGAATCAAAAGAATTTTGAAGGATATTGGAATTGTATGATGTACGTTCTCATTCCGTTTAACAGGTACCTTCTGATGTATGATCAGCCACTGCTGAAAGAGTGATGCTTGAGGCGGATGTGCCCAGACTGAGCTGATCTGACTGGGGTTGGCAATGTATAGAATGATCCTGACAGCGTTGAACCAATCGGGGCTATCCAGACAGTCTAGTTTTCTTCCTTTGGGTTACCGTGTCTTGATCACCCAGGCCTGGTCCACTACTGCCAGAATCTCTACTTTCTGGCTCATTCTTGTCTGCAAAACCCACAAGTAGTCAAAGTTGGGTGCACCGAACGGGTTGGACCAGACTGTTCTGCTTTTGGCAGTGCTGGTCATGCCTGGAATGGTTTTGACAGCGTTGATCCAACCGGAGTTACTCAGGCAGTCAGGATTTGTGCCTTTTGGGCTGCACTCTCTTGATCACCCATGCCTTGTCCACTTCTTTCTGCTTCAACACAGTCTGGTCGTCTAACGCTTGGACAAAATTGTCTGCATCTTCCTCGACTTGGTAAGTGAAAATTAGGAACATCAATTTAGTTGTAGTGTTTTTGGTAGAACTTCCGATTATTCATTATAAAATTTCAAATTTGAAAATGAAGGAAAATGGTTAAATTGCAAACAGAATCAAAACAATTTTGAAGGATATTGGAATTGTATGATATACGTTCTCATTCCGTTTAACAGGTACCTTCTGATGTATGATCAGCCACTGCTGAAAGAGTGATGCTTGAGGCGGATGTGCCCAGACTGAGCTGATCTGACTGGGGTTGGCAATGTATAGAATGATCCTGATAGCGTTGAACCAATCGGGGCTATCCAGACAGTCTAGTTTTCTGCCTTTGGGTTACCGTGTCTTGATCACCCAGGCCTGGTCCATTACTGCCAGAATCTCTACTTTCTGGCTCATTCTTGTCTGCAAAACCCACAAGTAGTCAAAGTGTGCTGCACCAAACGGGTTGGACCAGACTGTTCTGCTTTTGGCGGTGTTGGTCATGCCTGGAATGGTTTTGACAGCGTTGATCCAAACGGAGTTACTCAGTCAGTCAGGATTTGTGCCTTTTGGGCTGCACTCTCTTGATCACCCATGCCTTGTCCACTTCTTTCTGCTTCAACACAGTCTGGTCGTCTAACGCTTGGACAAAATTGTCTGCATCTTCCTCGACTTGGTAAGTGAAAATTAGGAGCATCAATTTAGTTGTAGTGTTTTTGGTAGGAATTCCGATTATTCGTAATAAAATTTCAAATTAGAAGATAAAGGAAAATGGTTAAATTGCAAACAGAATCAAAACAATTTTGAAGGATATTGGAATTGTATGATATACGTTCTCATTCCGTTTAACAGGTACCTTCTGATGTATGATCAGCCACTGCCAAAAGAGTGATGCTTGAGGCGGATGTGCCGACTGAGCTGATCTGACTGGGGTTGGCAATGTATAGAATGATCCTGACAGCGTTGAACCAATCGGGGCTATCCAGACAGTCTAGTTTTCTTCCTTTGGGTTACCGTGTCTTGATCACCCAGGCCTGATCCACTACTGCCAGAATCTCTACTTTCTGGCTCATTCTTGTCTGCAAAACTCACAAGTAGTCAAAGTGGGGTGCACCGAACGGGTTGGACCAGACTGTTCTGCTTTTGGCGGTGTTGGTCATGCCTGGAATGGTCTTGACAGCGTTGATCCAACCGGAGTTACTCAGGCAGTCAGGATTTGTGCCTTTTGGGCTGCACTCTCTTGGTCCCCCATGCCTTGTCCACTTCTTTCTGCTTCAACACTGTCTGGTCGTCTAACGCTTGGACAAAATCGTTTGCATCTTCCTCGACTTGGTAAGTGAAAATTAGGAACATCAATTTAGTTGTAGTGTTTTTGATAGAACCTCTGATTATTCGTAATGAAATTTGAAAATGGTGCAAGATAGTTAAATTGCAAACAGAATCAAAACAATTTTGAAGGATATTGGAATTGTATGATATACGTTCTCATTCCGTTTAACAGGTACCTTCTGATGTATGATCAGCCACTGCTGAAAGAGTGATGCTTGAGGCGGATGTGCCCAGACTGAGCTGATCTGACTGGGGTTGGCAATGTATAGAATGATCCTGATAGCGTTGAACCAATCGGGGCTATCCAGACAGTCTAGTTTTCTTCCTTTGGGTTACCGTGTCTTGATCACCCAGGCCTGGTCCACTACTGCCAGAATCTCTACTTTCTGGCTCATTCTTGTCTGCAAAACCCACAAGTAGTCAAAGTTGGGTGCACCGAACGGGTTGGACCAGACTGTTCTGCTTTTGGCAGTGCTGGTCATGCCTGGAATGGTTTTGACAGCGTTGATCCAACCGGAGTTACTCAGGCAGTCAGGATTTGTGCCTTTTGGGCTGCACTCTCTTGATCACCCATGCCTTGTCCACTTCTTTCTGCTTCAACACAGTCTGGTCGTCTAACGCTTGGACAAAATTGTCTGCATCTTCCTCGACTTGGTAAGTGAAAATTAGGAGCATAAATTTAGTTGTAGTGATTTTGGTAGAACTTCCGATTATTCGTAATAAAATTTCAAATTTGAAAATGAAGGAAAAACTGTAAAATTGCAAACAGAATCAAAAGAATTTTGAAGGATATTGGAATTGTATGATGTACGTTCTCATTCCGTTTAACAGGTACCTTCTGATGTATGATCAGCCACTGCTGAAAGAGTGATGCTTGAGGCGGATGTGCCCAGACTGAGCTGATCTGACTGGGGTTGGCAATGTATAGAATGATCCTGACAGCGTTGAACCAATCGGGGCTATCCAGACAGTCTAGTTTTCTGCCTTTGGGTTACCGTGTCTTGATCACCCAGGCCTGGTCCACTACTGCCAGAATCTCTACTTTCTGGCTCATTCTTGTCTTCAAAACCCACAAGTAGTCAAAGTGGGGTGCACCGAACGGGTTGGACCAGACTGTTCTGCTTTTCGCAGTGCTGGTCATGCCTGGAATGGTTTTGACAGCGTTGATCCAACCGGAGTTACTCAGGCAGTCAGGATTTGTGCCTTTTGGGCTGCACTCTCTTGATCACCCATGCCTTGTCCACTTCTTTCTGCTTCAACACAGTCTGGTCGTCTAACGCTTGGACAAAATTGTCTGCATCTTCCTCGACTTGGTAAGTGAAAATTAGGAACATCAATTTAGTTGTAGTGTTTTTGGTAGAACTTCCGATTATTCGTAATAAAATTTCAAATTTGAAAATGAAGGAAAAACTGTTAAATTGCAAACAGAATCAAAACAATTTTGAAGGATATTGGAATTGTATGATATACGTTCTCATTCCGTTTAACAGGTACCTTCTGATGTATGATCAGCCACTGCTGAAAGAGTGATGCTTGAGGCGGATGTGCCCAGACTGAGCTGATCTGACTGGGGTTGGCAATGTATAGAATGATCCTGATAGCGTTGAACCAATCGGGGCTATCCAGACAGTCTAGTTTTCTGCCTTTGGGTTACCGTGTCTTGATCACCCAGGCCTGGTCCACTACTGCCAGAATCTCTACTTTCTGGCTCATTCTTGTCTGCAAAACCCACAAGTAGTCAAAGTGGGGTGCACCGAACGGGTTGGACCAGACTGTTCTGCTTTTGGCGGTGTTGGTCATGCCTGGAATGGTCTTGACAGCGTTGATCCAACCGGAGTTACTCAGGCAGTCAGGATTTGTGCCTTTTGGGCTGCACTCTCTTGGTCACCCATGCCTTGTCCACTTCTTTCTGCTTCAACACAGTCTGGTCGTCTAACGCTTGGACAAAATTGTCTGCATCTTCCTCGACTTGGTAAGTGAAAATTAGGAACATCAATTTAGTTGTAGTGTTTTTGATAGAACCTCCGATTATTCGTAATGAAATTTGAAAATGGTGCAAGATAGTTAAATTGCAAACAGAATCAAAACAATTTTGAAGGATATTGGAATTGTATGATATACGTTCTCATTCCGTTTAACAGGTACTTTCTGATGTATGAACAGCCACTGCCAAAAGAGTGATGCTTGAGGCGGATGTGCCCAGACTGAGCTGATCTGACTGGGGTTGGCAATGTATAGAATGATCCTGACAGCGTTGAACCAATCGGGGCTATCCAGACAGTCTAGTTTTCTGCCTTTAGGTGACTATATCTTGATCACCCAGGCCTGGTCCACAACTGCCAGAATCTCTACTTTCTGGCTCATTCTTGTCTGCAAAACCCACAAGTAGTCAAAGTGGGGTGCACCGAACGGGTTGGACCAGACTGTGCTGCTTTTGGCGGTGTTGGTCATGCCTGGAAAGGTCTTGACAGCGTTGATCCAAACGGAGTTACTCATGCAGCCACGATTTGTGCCTTTGGGGCTGCTCTTTCTTGATCACTCATGCCTTGTCCACTACTCTTTGGTTCAACACAGTCTGGTCGACTAACGCTTGGATAAAATCGTCTGCATCTTCCGGGAATTGGAATATGAATATGAATATTTACAACATCATTTTAGTTGCAGTGTTTTCTGTAGAGCTTCCGATTATTCTTGATGTATTTGAAGATGTAGTGATGGGTAATATATTCCAAAATGTTCATTTATTTATATTTAACTTGTTTGATAGGCATTACTTTGAAGTTGGCGGATGACAAGATAGACACAATTTTATGGATAACAACTTCTTTAATACTGTAAAAAGCGACGTTTCGGTATAGATCCTTATACCGTTGTCAAGCAAGACTGGTTTAATTTCTGGTCATATTCGGTAACCACTTCTTGAAATTTTTTTCTTGTTTTCTTTGATGCTGTTAGCGTTAAAGTTCAAACTTTTAAAGAGACCGTCCATTCTTGTTTGTAGTTTCTTGTTTTCCATTTTGATCATGTCAGTCAGAAGAATTGTATTGGCTTCCATTGTTTTCGTCACATAACTTTTCATCTCCGCACTTTTGGATACATAGAGAATCTCACCCGAGTGTCTTTTGATATAAAATATATCAACACGAGTTGATAAAAGTGGAACAATTCCGAGGCTTGCCGAGGTTTTTGCCACTTTTATCAACGAGTGTTGATATATTTGATATCAAAAGACACGAGGGTGAGATTTTATTTATCATCCAACATCATTCTTTCAACTTTTTTTCAATTTGTAGACAGTAATTAGCAGTGTCCTCAGTGTACAAAGTACTGCTAACAGCTTCAGTAGCAGAGCCATTAGTGATGTCATTTGATTGTGACGTCATGGTAACCAGTGACGTCACAATGGTCTGCAAAGCATTGTGATGTAATTTCTTTGCAGCGATATCTACAGTGTAGATATCGCTTGATCTCATCCAAGCGATATCTCCTGTGGGGACCAGTTTTGGATGATAAATTATATTCTTCTACTGTAAACCCTCCAGTAGCACTGCTGTTGCATTCGTTGAGGGGACACGGTTCCAGAGAGTTTTCCAACTATTGGTTGTTTTATCTCTGGTTTTACGTGTCGGGCTTCAGCAGGCCCTCAAACGTTCTGTGAAGTTGCATGCTTGCTAATAAGTAATAAACAGCTGGTCGCAGCTTGTTCAACTATAATTTGCTGTTTGTTTGTTTGTTTGTTTTTGTTTAACGCCGCACTCAGCAAACTTCCACATTTGACGGCGGTCTGTAAGTAATAGTCTGGGCCAGACAATCAAGTGATTGACATTTTAACCAAAGACACACCCTGTCTTAGTACGATTACGCGCTATCAGAAGTAACCAAGACTGACCACTCGATCCATGTGGTCGCCCTGGACCTATTCTGACTCGGAATATTCACATGGTTGGTTCCAGTATAAGATATAAGCTGTAATTATTGATTATGAGTTCATGGCGAGGTCTAGTCGGATTAACAAGCGAATGTAGCTCAAGGGTTGATAGTGAGTGTGTGTGAGTGAGTTTGGTTTTACGCCGCCTTTAGCAATATTCCAGCAATATCACGGCGGGGGACACCAGAAATGGGCTTCACACATTGTACCCATGTCGGGATTCGAACCCGCGTCCTCGGCGTGACGAGCGAACGCTGTAACCACTAGGCTACCCGACCGCCCCCAAGGGTTGATAGCCTAGCCTCAGATTGTGTACAGATAGATGAAATATATATGTATGAAAATCAGTTATGACACCAGGTGTTCGCGAAAAGGGTAAGCATGTCCTGCTCCCCTATAGTATATTACATATCAGTTTGATGTCGTTAGAATAGATGATGTAGAATGCTCGGCATTAAGGGGATAAAACAATGACTGGTCGGCGCGGAGTCAATATACTGTGTCTGAGTGGGGTATTCATGTTAAACTGCCACATGGTATCTCAGTGGGCTAGCGCTATAAACTGGCATCAGTCCGGACTAGTACCATCCGTGACCAACTCGTGTTATTCCGGGACAAGCCGAATAGCGACTCGTGCCCCTCTCGTGGCCATTTTTGCAACCGGGTTCCGTCTTAACGCAAACGGGCACACATAAAACAATTGTCAACTCGTTGCGCAATGGTTCACATATATTTCCCCATATATCATTTATATTTCAGATGCAATAAAAGCACACCAGGACATGCGAAATTATACAGTATGATTGAACACATTTAACTGTGTCTTGGGTATATTTTTAGATGCAAGACATATGTAAAAACAGAAATTATTTCTAAGGGATTCTTTGACGAAGAACTTGAAATCATACGTGCATTCTGATTGGTTTGTCGTATTTTCGCACATAACATTCATCAATAGGGGGACGAGTCTTCTTGCAGGTTACGGAAAGGGGCGAGTGCACGTGGTGACGAATGGACTAGTACAAGCAGACACACACACACACGTGTATAAGTATAATATATAAGTGCAATAATCTTGGACGCGACGTTAAACCCCATTTCATGTTGTGTGGTTTTGTTATTTATTTAGATGCAATGAATGTCATGTTTTACCGGGTTTTTGTAGTTTCTTGTTAGTTGCTTAACGCCGCACTCAGAAATTGAGCGATACAAATGGCAAGGCGTGGTGCGTGGTGCGTTGATGGTGAGGTGGTTGAATGGTGTTTAACGCCGCCGTCAGCAATTTGGAGTATAAGCCCAGCACATCAGTGTTTGTTTGTTTGTTTGTTTGTTTGTCTGTTGTTTAACGCCACACTCGGCAGTATTCCAGCTGTATGACGGTGGTCTGTAAATACTCGAGTCTGAACCAGACAATCATCGGCATTGACATCATCGGCATCGATTCACGCAATTGGAATACAATGACATGCATCAACCAAGTCTGACGACGCGATCCCGTTAGTCTCCTCTTACGACCAGCATAGTTGCCGTTTACGGCAAGCATGGGTACTCTTTTTGGTTGAGTCCCGTCCGGGATTCGAACCCACACTGTTAATATATAGTTGTATAGTTATGCAAGTTTCTAATGCTGATAACATAGGTTTGTAAAACCACACCTACCTCAGATATTTATGTTACATTGTTAACGACCGATAGTACCACTTGACAATACATGTATATGCTGTCGTGTTTATCCACGAAGGATATATACATGTCAACAGAAAACATAGATCCAAATAGACATGGCTCTGCTTGTTGTAGTCCCTGTCTGTGTATGTCATTAATAGGCACATGTATCAGATTAAGAACTAATGAATCCCTGTAGCTGTTCATTAAAAGCCACAATACCCCCAAGATCACCACTATTACGCCCTCTACACGCCACGGCGTACTACTTGTACTACTTGTGTAAACAACATTTTTATTTCTATCACTTTCAAACTCCAGAAACAGTTGAGGCGTGGTCTTTTAATGTCCATTAAATTTGAAATCTGTATAAAACTGATCGCAGAAGTTCATTCATTCCGTTATCGTAAGCGCCGTCAAGAATGCATAGAAGAAGTTAATCTTACGAGTGAGCATTGATTGCGTACACTTTGCATCTTAAGACTGGGGGCGGTCGGGTAGCCTAGTGGTTAAAGCGTTCGCTCGTCACGCCGAAGACCCGGGTTCGATTCCCGACATGGGTACAATGTGTGAAGCCCATTTCTGGTGTCCCCCGCCGTGATATTGCTGGAATATTGCTAAAAACGGCGTATTACCCCGTCCACACGCACAACATTTACTAACGTAAGTAATTTTACACAGGTGTGACTATACATACGTGCGTATATGTAAATTTACTTTGCGTTCACGTGAAAAGCATCTTAGGTGTGTAAATAAAGTATGTAAATTGTGTAAGGCACATATATTTGTCAGTCTGTTCGCGACTTTCAACACAAAAAAGGTTGTTTTCCAATCCAAGTTGATTGAGAAGAGAGTTACTTCACCGAAATTGTTCGCGCGAAACAACATGTGTTTGATCTAATTGGTACACAAAATTTTGACTCCTTGAAACCAAAAGAAAACGCCGTCCGCTCAACTCTGTATATACGCATAAACGTTGGCAACTTTTGACAACATGTGCAAGAAATTGGACGCCTGTCGCCTGCTGTGCCCCCTGTTCAACGGGGCGTGCAATATATGATAGCAAAGGAGGACTAGGTTCCTTTTTACTTTTTTTAAATAGATTAGACAGAAGTTACAGTATCTCCCCGTCTATATATGTATTCTTCTCTCCGTAAGCTTTCTAAAGAATTGTTCTATATATTTTCAACTTGGACGTAAAGGGCTTCCATCTTGAAACGAATGTAGAGGGTTGTTATGCTATAATGAAAGAAGAATTGTCAGATTTATCACAAAGTTTGACACTGTATAACTTGTTAGGTATAATACATAGATATACTCCGCGCATATCTTCCTATTCATCAAACCTTTCTCAGAGATTATTCCTAAACTTAGCAAAAAATATGGATGCTAAGTTTCTTCCACAAAGCTTAAAGATGACACCTATTTATCGAGATTGCTATATTTTCCAGTTAGTCATGGCATCGGCTGGTTAGGTCCTTGGACCTGGACTTAAACTTACCCATCTCAAAATCAGAAATTAAAAGTGTAAACAACCAAAAATGGCATAACCTATATCTAAACTCAAAATGCCAAATCATAAAAGTACTCAGCAAACCACTAACCAAACCAAAAATTATCCATCCATCAAAAAAAAGTAATCAATAAACTCCAAACAGGACACACCAACCTATATAACACCTAAAAAAAATAATACAACACACTACAGGTAACTGCCCACACTGCAAACAACTAGAAACTCCAGAACACGCACTCATCCACTGCACACACTACCTAACACATCGAACCCCATTACAAACCACCCTCAATCTAAACAAGGCTCTCACTCCAGAAGCAATACTAAACCCAAAACATAAAAAAATAGAAAAATTCAAAGCCTTAGGCGTATACTTAATCAAAACAGGACTAATAAATCGCATTTAAAACCCCTATAAACTACCAAAACCAAACCACATAATCAAACTAACAAACTTCCATACTCAGGTCCCTTAGTTCGCCCCCCAAACCCTCTTGGCGTTTTTCCAAATCTCAAAATTTCCAAAATTCTATATATGCAACCACTAAAACACCCCTACTGGATTGCCAAACAACTTTTTCTCCTTTTCGGAAACACATTAAATGGCCTGGCCGGGCCCGTGTGCGAAATACGCTGCAGTCGGAAAGCGCACGTAAAATCTCCAATATAAGTAAGTAATGAAGGCGGTCTTTGTGTGACCGTCTGCAACTGCAGGTGGAGAAACACAAGGAATATCTTAAACGTCTATGCAGTTCAATCGCTACAGACCAGACTCAGTTAACGATGGGTAATTTGATTACATCTATTATCATAATATGATTATATAATCTGTGCACATTACATACCATTTATCGTGACATATCGTGTATGAATTAATTATTGAAATACATCTATTCAACCAATCCCAGTGAAATCAGTAAACAGAAAACAGAAATCAGAAATCATTTGTCAGAAATAGTAACGATTGCCGTAACCACGCCGAAATTACTTCTCATAACCAAAAGCAACATTACAACATTTGACTGAATGCGTTCCGAGCGTCACGGTTTAATTGCCTTCTTAATTATCCTCTAGACTCAGTTTCGACGCGAATATGACTGC